CATTGCTCACCTGTCCTTCCCGCCTCCGTGCTCCAGACACAGGCTCCTCTGTGTTCACCGTGCACCCCAAGGCCCCACGCAGGCCCGCGCACAGTAGGGCCTCAGTGAGCCTGGTGGCAGGAGCCAACCCGAGCTGGCCCTTCTCTGGCGTCACACCGATTCTCCCTGGGGACCGACCCCGTCCTGAGCGGTGTGGCCCCCCCAGCCCCTCCTCGGCTCTCCTCTGCAGCAGGAGGCGGCCCGGAGCCCACAGGCCCGTGGCAGGGGCCTCCCCCGCCGTGTTTTATGGCTCCTCTCTGGGCCCCTAATAGCAGTCACATTTTGAGAGTTTGGAGAAGGAGCGTGAAGGCCAGTCAAGTGGAGAAATCACGTCTCGTAAATGGGCCAAACGTGGATTTACACAACAGCCTGTGACAAACGCATCTTCAGGGGGCGATCTGGCAGGAAACATCCCTTTTTCCAAAGGACGCCCAGGCCCTGGGAGAAATAATGGGGTCTTTTTAAGGATTCTAATTCTTGCCGGTGCTGACAGGCTGAGGCCCAGCGCTGCCTCCCGCTTGGAGCTCCCGTGCACCCCGCACTGTCTGTCCCCGGGCCTCCCAGGTAAGCGTCCTGCTCCCGGGGGGCCCTGCATGTCCAGTGTCTGGCCTCGCGGTTCCTGCCTGCCTCCCTCCTTCCTGCCCACACACGACCTCAGAGGACACAGGGCATGTCTGTCCCTGGGAGCCCGGGCTGCAGACAGCAGGTCCTTGGTCACTGCTGGGTTTTCTCCTGCCTACAGCTCCAGGAGATGGGGGGGGTTCGGGGGCTCCTGAATACGTCCCACGGCCTCATGAGGCTGGGGTGCAGTGGCTAGGGCTCGGGCTAGAAGCTGTCGTTCAGTAAAGAAAGAAGGGCATCCCTCACGTCAGGCTGAAAGGGCCTTGGTGGCTCTCCATCCCACGCCTGGACGGCCCAATGGGGGAACAGAGACAGATCGCGGGAAGGCACAGTGACTCACCCCTGCAGGGTCTCTGGGCACAGAGCAGGGGAGGTGGTGAGGTGGGTCTGGAGGGCACACAGGGGACAGCAGCACACTGAGTCCTCTCCCATCCTGCAGGCAGGGACGAGGAGCTCCATTCTGCAAAGGAGGGAAAGTGACTCAGAGAAAGTGCGGCTCACAGTGGAGCAGTGGGGCTGCCCCAGAGCCTTCCTGCTTCCTCAGCCCGCTCTGCTCCCTCCAGAGAGAAGCTCCAGCACTGTTCACCCCCGGCCGCGGGGTCTGGTTCAGCTCAAAGCGCCGCCGGCGGCAACAGTGAAAGGCGGCTTGCACATTTTCAAGCAGAACAGAACTTGCAGACGCCGAGGCTCTGAGTCTATGAATGAGCCCACCGGAAGCTGAGCCGCCTCCTGCCTCCCTGTGCCGGGAGCGTGCCTGGAGGAGAGCCCCGAGGCTCTTCAAGGCCTGATGGGCAGTGGAGGCCGCTGCATCTCCCAGGAGAGCAGGGGTGATGGGGTAGGGGGGTATGGGAAACAGGGGCGCCCCGAGACACAGCGGAGCGCCCACCTCGCAGAGCCTAGCGGGTGCTGGACCCAGGGCCCCCCCGTTCCAGGGAGCAGGCTGGAGCAGACCCCCTTCTAGGAGAGCCCCTGCCGCAGCTGTTCCCTGCACCCGATGGAGCCAGAGGGACACTAAGTACTAGGACTGTTTGAAACAGTCATATGCTAGGTCCCATCCGAGGGCCTCCCTGAGGTTCCCGAGAGCCACTGGAGGGTCTCCGACAGGACGCCAGCATCACTGGAGAGCCCCAAGCTGACTGAGGCCTGGACACACGGGTTTCTGTCCATCCCATCGCTGGGTGCCCTCAGGACAGCCACTGCTCCTCTCTGATGACCCCCGAACAAGCCCTCACTGGGCCCCCACCTGGAGCCAGGCCTGTGTTAGACTCAGAGGAGGAGAGAGAACCCGGTTAGCTTGGTCCCTGCCTGTGGGGACGGAAGCAGAGATGTCACAATACTGCTGGGGCTGGGGGTTTATTCAACCGTAGACTTAGTGACTCACTCCATTGCAAAAGCCAACCCTCGGCTGCCTCTTGGGCCGGGCCCGGGGTGCACACTCTGGGGGCATTCACCCTTGGGGCCACCTCAGGATCCCAGACCTGGGCAAGAGGGGAAGCAGGTACCCAAGGTGGGCTCAAGGCCATCTGGGCAGAGAATCCCAGGGTCTCAGAGCAAAGTCTAGAGGGGTCCCACAGTCCCCTTTCCCTTGGTCCTGCAGAGTCGCTGTTGGTGGGTGGAGAGCAGTGGAGGAGACCCCAGGGGAGGCAGGTCCTCTGTAGCATAGGGGTCTCTCATGACCTGGTTTAAGGGCCATTCTGCCCTAAATGTTTGTCACCCCCTGCCCTAAGCTGGAAGACCCTGACCAGCCTGCAGAGTGGGCGCCCCTCACCCCCACCCCGACCTACCCTCCCCCACACGCATCCTCCCCTCCTCCACTTGTTCCCACCGAGTCTGCTTGCCCTGCCCGCCCCTTGGCCCATGTCCCAGCCACCTGTCCCCCCCAACTTGGCTCCACGTAGCCTGGCGTGCTATTCAGGAACCTGATCGAATCCGCTACACACGTGTTTTCGCTGTGTGCCAACCCCTCACCTCTCCTGTGCCGCTTACAACAGAGAAAAGGGGAGAGGAAAAAAACAAAACACTTGGGCTTCCCGAGATAGATAGTGTCTGAGACACCGAGTGTTGAAAGCACTTCATCTCCTGCCTACACTATGAAGCTGCTGATGGGTCAGACTGCCCTTATCTTCATGAGGTGAAGTCTCTCCACACAGAGAGACAGAGGGGGGGCTCCCTTCCCCACCTGCTCGACTTCCTGGCATGCAGGCTGCAGGACCAAGCGCTCCTGTCCCCAGGGCGCAGGGACTCCACCCCACCCAGTCCTGTGACACCTCCCAGGCTCCGCTGGAACGAGAGGTGATGGATTTTGCAGAGCTGTTCTGCCTGGTAGGGGAAGGAAGGGAAGGCAGCTCAGACGAGGGTGGATCAGGGATGCATCCCTGTGCTGGCGACACCCCAAAGCAGTCCCTCAGCTGCGCCTCTTCCTCGCTCTGTGCACCTCCCATCAGGCTGCCTCCTGCCTGAAGCTGGGTCTGTCGTGGGGCCTCACAGAAGGGATGTGATAAGAGTATTAAGGGCGCAGGCTCGCGGGCTTCAAATTCTGGCTTGATGGCTTCCTTGCTGTGCCGTCTTGGGCAAGGCACTTCCCACCCCGGGCCTCAGCTTTCTTGCACAGACAGGGACACCAGTTTGAAGACGGAATGAGAAATGCCCGGAAAATGGACAACACCGTCCCCGAGGTGCAGCAGGTACTGGACACAGGTCGGCTGTCATCTGTCATCTGTCACTGTCCAGGTCAGTATCGGGATCAGCACTGATGCACCGGGGCCCCACGAGGAGCTCTCCGGGGAGCACGGGTCACCCTCCCCACCCCACGCACTTCAGCCCCCCGTCCACACGGCTGCTGTGGCCAGCACAAGGCCAGGCACCCCGATGGGCCCCTCTTGCAGGCAGAGGCAGCATGGAGGATGAATGCGGGGGAGCTGGGCCCGGCTCGCGGGAGGCCGCACTGAGCAGGTGCATTTCGGTGACAACCAGGACAACCGTCCCTGAAGCGCAGAAGCTTCTGAAAGCACCAGCTACCAGCCAGTCAGGGAGTGAGGGGGCACGTCTCCTGCCGGGCTTGGGGCTGCCGGGGTGACCGCCGATGCTTAGAGGGGAAGACTGAAACTGGGTGGGACAGGGAGCCTCTGTTCTCACAGGCCTGGGTTCCAGGAGTGACAGGTCCTCAAGGCTCGCTCTGCCACTTGCAATTGAGCACAGGGGGGATCAGAGGGGTTGGGGTGGCCCCTGGGGAGCCCACAGCGAGCCAGCCTCAGCTCCGTGGTTCCAATGCCCAGGCCAGGGCTTCTACTCTGCCATCCCCCCTGCAGGGAGTGACTGTCCTCCCCCAGGGCCCCCCCCCCGAGCTGGGGTCTCCCAGGGGACCCACGCAGCCATCCTCTTGAAGCCTCATCATTTTCCGGCCTTCCAGGCCCTTCCACCAAGTACCTCTTTTCCAGCCAGCCCCAGGTCCTGATGTGAAGTCCTTCTTTGGAGCTGTCTTTGTGGGGATCCTGAAGTCTGTTTCATTAAAACAGTGGGGCTGGGGAAAGGGAAGCCGCAGCAGCATCCGCTCCTGAAACTGCTCCCACCAGCCCCGGGATGGGTAAGATTTACCTGCACTCGCCTGAGACGCTCCCCACGCCAACGACAGGAGTGCCACTGCCCATGGTGACTTGCATTAGGTTCTTGGCACATCTCCCCATGGTAAACCCACGGAGCTTAGGGTGAAGCAGAATGTAGGCGATAGGGAGGAATGTGTGGCTTGTATTCAAGCAATTGTTTAAGTTTCAGATTTTCCTGTTCTTTGTGGATTTTTGGATGAAATGTATGTCCTGGCTGGACCTTCTGCTTCAGCGCTCACATAAGGTTGCAATCAGGTTGTCGGCTGAGGCCAGGAAGTTGTCTGAAGGCTCAACCAGGGAAAGACCTGCTCCCGAGCTCATGCGAGGTGGTTGGCAGGACGGTTCCTTGAGGGCTCGTGGACCGCGGGCCTCGGGTCCGGCCGTGGGTGGCTGGTGGCTGGAGGCAGCCTTCAGTCCCTTGCCACGGGGGTGTTTCCCACACGGCAGTTTATGTATCAAGGTGTGCAAGCCAAGAAAGCGATAGGAGGAGTTGACCAGCAAGACAGAAGCCACGATCTTTTGTAACCAAAACACGGAAGTACCATCCCATCACCTTTGCTGTATTCTAGTGGTTCGAAACAAGTCACAGGTCCTGCCTGCCCTGCCATCCCAGAAGGGTCCCTGCCCCAGGATAATTCATTAAAGCTCTTAACACCATGGGCGCCGGCCTCCCATCACATCCCATCCAACCCCGCCCCCTCCCTACCCTCATTCACTCCATCATTCATTCAGCGAGTGTTTACGGACACCTGTTCCGTGCCAGGCCCTGCGCTGGGCACTGGGAACAGGGGACTCAGCCCGAGGCAGCCCCCAGTCTGGTGCGGGGAGGTAGGAACTCACAGGAATGACATCCCTCCCAGCCACTCTGGCCACTCCAGCTCTTGGCAAAATGCAGACATGCATGACAACCTGGTTGCCCAGCCAGCCCTGGGCAAAGCAGGGCCTCCTTCTCAGAGAACAAGTCATTCCGAGACCTCCCTCCTCTCTCTCCCCACTCCCTCAAAACTTTCTTTAAAAACCACAGAAGAAACTTTATTTATCCTGGGGCTTTGGGGCTGGGAACAGAGGCAGATGGCTCCGGAATTAGCAGCTCAGCAGACACAGAAGGTTCCAACATAGCTCGGAACAGCCCAGAACGACTTCCTTCCCCAGCCGAGTGTGGGGAGCAGCATGGGCAGCCCTTCCGGGGTCACTACCCCTTTCTTCCTGCCCTTCTGACCCAGCATCACGTCGGCCAGAGGCAGAGAAAGGGCTCGGAGCCCAGGGAATCAAAGTGACAGGAGTCATCCATCGTCACCAGAGGGGCAGAGACAGCTGCTGCCCACCAGTTCACACCCCCTTTCATAGGGCAAGGCTGGTGCTGGGCGGTGGCTGCCCAGCCTCCCCCTGCCACCCCATGCATCCAGGTGGGGCCAGTTGGCACCTGTGGTCAATGGAATGTGGCTGGAGATGATGTGGTTCCCCTCTGGGCTGAGCTGGAGAATCACTTGGTGACCTGCCTCTCACTCACTGCCCTTCCCTGGGAGCCCTGGAAGCCCCGTGTGTAGATGACGTCATCACAGATGAAGAAGCCTGGGTCTCCGCATCCTCGCTCAGAGGAAGCGCCTCCCCGGAGGAGCTCCCCGGACCCGCCACATCCGCTTGGACTTCACATGGAGAGAAACCATCTCTTCCTGGGTGAAGCCACTGGGACGTGGGCCTATTTGTCACAGTACCTTGCCTGTCCTGACCGATACAACCCAGGCCTACTCCTCATCCGGCCCTTCATCCAGTGGGCACTGGTCAGGCTCCTCTGGGTGCCCCCTCGGGGTGCTGAGTACTGGGGCACAGCCACGAACGAGGCCCCCAGGCCCCTGCCCTTGGGGAGCTCCTGGGTGCCACTGGGGAGACAGCCAAGCAAAACGAGTAAGCGATAAGAACAAAATATTACGAAGGAAAGAAGCAGGGTGATAAGACAGCAGACACCAGCTTTGGAGGCTGGCGGGACCTGGGGAGGGAGGTCGGGGAGCGCGGAAAGAGGGAGCAGTAGGGCCCGAGAAGCTTCCTACAGAGAGAACTGGCAAGTGCAGCCCCCCTCCCCCACCATGCTGGCCACTATTATGCAAATGACTCCCTTCCATCATCACCACCACCCTGGGGGGCTGTCACTGTCCCCCCCATTTTTCAGGGGAGCTGCAGTGAAGGGGCAAAGGGGCCGGGTCACTGGGGCAGGAAGTATGTTTGCTGTTTTTTGTTTTTCCCATGTGGAGATGTGTCTCAGAGTCCAAGACGCCCTGGCAAGGTCACGTGTCGCTCCTGCTGGGCTCCCACACCTGTGTCTCGGCCACCTACAGAGCTGGGGCTTCTCACACCTACAGGTGCCCGCAGGCCACCTTGGGTGCTTGCTCAAGTGCACAGTCAGATTCGTCACGAGCCTGGGGCAGGGCCCGCTCTTCCACAACTGCCCGCCGATGCTGCCGCCACTGGTCAGCCCTGAGGGCAGCAAGTTTCTAGAACAGAGACAGGCTTGGGTTTGGACTAGCTGGTCTGGCCTCCCAGCCCAGCACTCAGCCTCCAGGCCAAGCCCCTGGAGCTGTTCGAGTCCAGAGAAGGACCGCCTCAGTGACTTCTTAGAAGAGGCAGGCCTGACCTCAGACCTGGGCCCACAACGGCAGGTGTTACAGGAGCAGGAAGTAAGGGAGGGTACTCACCATCCAGCACTTCCGGGCTGGCAGGGCCGGAGGTCAGCGAGTCCCAGTGAGCCGTTCAAGGTCATACAGCCTGGTGGAGCGGATACCCAAATGCAGGCTGGGGGCAGGACCTCTCTTCTGGACCAAGGGGCTGGGGTTCTCTCTGACCTGTGAAGCTGGGTGTTTGTGGCTCGGCATGAAATAGGCCTCCTGAGAAACATTTCACGCCAGAAAGCTCTTTTGAGAGCAAACTCTGAAGAACTCTCAGATCTACCTGGGGCGCACAGAGTAACTTGTTCCTGATTGAGCCAAATATCACAGGTCACAGCGGGACCACTTTCAGTGTTTGAGTCTTTCTGCTTCCCTCACCTCTAGTAACCTATGAATCTGCAAGCTTCTCCTCTCCTCCTCGTGCCGTGCAGAAAGCCCCTTTATTTCTCCCGCATGCCCTTCCCTTCCTGCTCCTCCCTCCCTTCTTTCTGCCAGCCAGTGTTTTTGACCCTGCTGTGCCCTGCAGCGTTCTGGGCCCCAAGAAAACAACAGAGAGTGAGACGCAGGAGAAGCCCAGCCCTGCCCGGGAGCCTCCAGCCTGTCAGGGAAGGCAACAGAAGGAGGTGGTTGGGGGGCCTCTGCCTGCCCTCCAGAGACTTATGCTCTCCCAGGACTGTAGGGGTGAGAAGTGGCACATAAATCAACAGTGACAAGCCAGAGACTCCCAGGGTGCAGCGAAAGCACAAAGGGTGTATCACGGAGGGCTTCCTGGAGGAGGAGACACTAGAGCTGAGTGTTAGGATGAATGGGCAGGAGTAGGACAAAGCAATGCCAGGGGATGGCATGTCATGAGGGCCCTCCTGCTGCCAGCAGAGCTGGGTCAGAGCCGGGTGAGCTCTGACACCTAGCCAGGTAGCCCTCTGCCCAGGTAACCCTTCTGCCTCTCTGGGGGAGAAAGGCCTTTCTCCTCCTGCTGCCAGAGGCCTCCCTGAGGCTGCGGGGCTTCCTTCACCCCAACAGTCTCCTGCTCAGGATCCTGGAAGCCCCATGTCATCAGGGCCCTGAGTTTCCCTGCCCGTGGCTTTGCTCACAGCTTTCGAGAGGCAGCAGTGTCATCGAGAAGGGCCCAGACCCGGGCTCAAACCTCACCTCTGCTCTGTAGCTCTGTGACCTGGAGGGAGTCACTGTGTCAGTCTGGTGGGGCCAGCATGGTGGGGGAGGGGGGCTGCACTTGCCAGTTCTCTCTGTAGGAAGCTTCTCGGGCCCTGCTGCTCCCTTTTTCTGTGCTCCCTGACCTCCCTCCCCAGGTCCCGCCAGCCTCCAAAGCTGGTGTCTGCTGTCTTATCACCCTGCTTCTTTCCTTCGTAATATTTTGTTCTTATCTGGGTATCTGAGCCCTGATGCTCTCATCTGGAGATTAGGGCTGACTCTAGTGACGGCCACCTGCTGCTGGACCGACAGCAGAAATGCCCCACCTGTCCACCCTTCCACACTCTTTGTAATGTGACTCGAGAAATGGGACTTCTTTCCTACCCCTTAGATATGTGCTGCCCTGTGACTCGCTTTGGCCAATGAATGTGTTGCATGGGATAGCGTGCTGACTTGAATCCTGTGCCTCAAGCAGCTTTGTTGTACTTCGGTTCATGTCCCTGGAAATCGGAAACCTCCATTTGAAGGAGTCCGGACCAGCCTGCTGGAGAATCAAAGACCACATCAGGCCTCCAAACAGGCACAAAAGCCAGCCAGCATCAGCAAAGCCAACCCACAGCTGAGCTGCCAGCTCACTGCACAAGCCTGAAAGAGCTTGGCCAGGCCAGTGGGACTGTCCAGCCAACCAGAGGACTCGTGAACTAAATGAATACACATTGACTTAAACTCCTAGCTTTTGTGGTTGTTCCACACCATCACTGTGGGCACGCACGGCTAGCATTCACTCCGTTCAGTTATCGTGAAGAGGACATAAGCTAGTAGACATAAAAGGCTTGGGGCCTGTGCCTGGCACCCAGGAAGCCCTAAGTGGGCATTAGCTAGCATTATTGCTCCAGGCCTGCCTGGTCCTAAGGGGGAGCTCTTCCTTGTCACCCAAGTCAAGGTCTGGATGGACAATATCCTCAAAGCTTGTGCATCACCAGCAGCATAGACACCGTGGTGCTGCTACTCGAGGCTGTGTGACCTTGGCGAAGTGTCTTCACCTCTCTGAATTTCTACTTACTCCTTTGCAGAGCAGGCAGGGGGCTGTCCTCCCAGCAAGTACTGACAGAGGATGCAAGGTGCAGGGGTTCGGGAGCCCCCCCGCCCCCCAGGGAGAGAACCATTTAGGGACTGCACAGGGAAGGCAAGGGACACCCAGGTCTGATGTCTCTGGATCATATATGACACGGCTCTACCCTATGTCCTTCACCACACTCCTTAATCGCCTTGGGGTCGTAGGGTTTCTCTTGCCAGTATCCAAATGGTCCTGGCCGGTCTTCTCTTTCTCACCTGATAAGACGGAAGCTGACTATCTCACAGGTACTGGCCCTTCCTGAAACATTAGGAAAATATGTGTCCCTTCCCGTGTAAGATCCTTGAGGACCGTGACTTTCTTCTCATTCATCCTCCTACCCCCTCAACGAATACAGGGCCAGGCAGAGAGATGGTGCTCGGTAAATGTATGACAAATGACTGAACAAATGCCATGCAGACGGGGATGTTCATTTTTCCCACATCCCCCTTCCTCCTTTGGAAGCCATCGCTCAACCTCCAAGCTGAGGTGAAAGCTCCCAGCTCCAGTCATACTGTTCCGATACCTCCCCCATCACAGCTCACCTTGCTTCAGCCAGAGGGTTAAACTGGAAACATAGATCTGACCACCCTATTTCCTGCCTTTGCCCTCTATTTAAAATACTCCACTGGTCCCTGCTGTTGGGATCAAGACCCAAATCCTGAAAGTGGCATTTGAGACCCTCCCCCAGTCTTGCCCCTGTCCCCCCTCCAGGCCCCCATTCACTTTTTGCCCTCCAGCCACACGGTCTTGGAGTTCTTTGTGATCGCCAAGAGCCCTCCTGCCACTGGGCCTTTGCATGTGCTGTTGCCTGGTCTGAACACTCTTCCTCAGCCCCAAGCTCATCTGCTAACTCTTTATTCTCCAGATCACAGCTAGACGGTCACCTCCTCTGGGAAAAACTTGAAATCTTCCATTATATGCTTCACAGCCCTTGTGACTTTACACTCCTTTGTGTTATTCTAGTTAGTGTCTGTCTCCCCCTTCACACTGTGAGTTCCACCGAGCCGGGACCATGACAGTTTTGCTTACTTTGATTCTTTTCACACAATAGCTGTCACGTAGTAGGTGCTCAACAAATATGTTAAATAAATTAATGCCTGCTGTGGTCTGGAAGATCTCAGAGGGTCCCCCGGGTGGGAACATCTTGGGCACAGGGCTGGTAGTGGGGGCAGGCAAGACAGGTGTCTGGGACACAAAATTTAAGGAGATGCTCTGTCAGCCCCAAATGCCTGGTGCCAACCTCAGGGTCTGCATTTAATTGGCATCATTAAATGCTACATGAAGGGAGAGCGGGCTGACAAGAAGAAAAGCGGACTTGAGATTTCACAGAATCACTGACTCAGCTTCCGAGCTGACGTCTGGAAAGCTCACCTGTGCACAGAATGGATCCGCCTCCCGCCAACGCAGGCATCTAGCTCCAAAAATAGTACCAAGAATATTTCGCAGCAGCAGAGCTGATGCGTGGTTTCCTGCCCGCGGGCGGCGTCCCCTTCTGCAGGCTCAGTACCCGGAAAGGGGCGTCCACGGCCGAGCAGGGAGGGCGGCCGACTGTGGACACAACGGGGTTCTTACCTTCCGGGGCGCTGCTCACTCGGGGGATTTGCAGGGAATCTCTGGCGAGGAGACACTTCGGGGCACGGGGTCTGCCCCGTGTGTGGGGCTCACTGGCTGATGGGCTGTGGGCTGATGGCCGCATCGCAACGCCTGTGAGACCGCGGTCCCCTCACAGCAGACGGGCCAGGACACTGCTCTCCTCGCGGCCATTCAGGAGCGCCTGGGACAGAAGCCAAGGGAACAGAAGTGCCCAGAAGCTCCTGCTCGCCCTGCCTTCCTCCCCCTGCCTGGGAGCCGCCTCCACCCCGGGGCAGGACACAGCTCCCCCTGCTCTGGGGAGAGGGTCCCAGGGCCCCTGCCCTAGGAAGATCCTGAGCCTCCTCATGGAGAATGCCAGACCCAGAGGCCTAAAGAACTGGGGGCAGCACACCAGGAGCTGCTCCATCCCCCTGCATGCTCTTCTCCTCTAGTCTCCGTCAGGGCTCAGCCTGGCTCCCCCTCCTCCAGGAAGTCCTCCCTGATGCCTCCAGCCCATGCCGGCCTCTTCCTTTCCTAACTCCTCTCCTGTGCTCTGTGGGGCAGGGTGGGGTGGGGGAAGGAGCCTGGGCCTTAGTGGTGGATGCCTGGGGTTTGGACCTGATATGCCATCCTGAGCTGTGTGACCTAGGCATATCACTTGATGTCTCTGGGACCCCATTTTCTCCATACACAAATATTTAGTTAGCATCTATTATGCACCAGACACCGTGTTTCCTGGTGGTGGCCGTGGAGTAGGGCTGGGACTCACTGGGTTGTGGATAATAGAAACACATCACAAACTGGTTGAGACAGGACTTGAAATGCATTAGCTCATGAAACAGGGATGCCTGGGGGGCTGCCGGCCTCAGGTCTGCCTTGATCCAGGGGCTGAAGCACTTGTGGCCCGTCTACGCAGAAAGCGTGCTGGTTCTGCAAGTATATATAGCAGGAGCCAAAAGGGTGAGGACATCTACCTTCTGGGGGCTCACATTCTCTCTGCCCCCACCATCCTTCTTTTTCTCTTTCACGCCATCTTTCAGAGATTTGTTTACCTGCGCTGGTTTCATTTTTAGACAGGCTTCTCTCAAAACTGCCACCAGCAACTGCAGTCCTACACCCTTAAAGGAAAGGCCTCTTTTACGCTACTTTTAGCAGAAGTCCAAGGCCAAGCTCTGATTGGATTAACTTGGGTCACGTGCCCATCTCTGAGCCAATCCCTAAGTCCAGGGGAATGGAAGTCACTGATTGGCCATGCCCAAATCACATGTTCGCCCTTAGCGCCTGGGTGGTCTCCATGCGGGCCAGAGACTGCGTACTGGTAGGTGAGGGGCGTGGTTTCTAAAGAAGGAGGAGGAGCTCGTGGGGGCGGGGTTGGATTCTGAGCAGGTGCAAACAATCTTAATGTGTAAGGTGAAACTAAATCCTGCTTCTTGCTTGGCCACTGGCCTGAGGCAGCCCAACTCAACTGGGCTAATGTGGGGCGACCTTGAGGAACCTCCACAATCAGGACACGGTGCACCTGCGATCTAGCACCCCCTCCAGACTCTGCCCGCCTGGATCCGGTGACCACCCCTGCCTCTGGTCCTCCCAGCAGACCTGGCCTCCGTCTGAGGGGGCCGTGGGTGGGCAGAGCCGCTCTGAAGCTGGCCGTGCCCAGAGCACACAGTGACCCGAGCTCCCTCCCTGGCTGTGTGACCTGAGTTGCTCAGCTGCTCTGAGCCTCAGTGTCCTCATCTCTCAAATGGGAACGATTAATGGCCTTGTAGCAGGGGGCGTTGTTGGGAGGGCTGGACAACCTGTGGATCACCTGGCCTCGGACCCAGCACATCGGAGGCACTGTCGCATACAGGAGGTGCTCATGGAGCGGCAGCCTTCAGTCTGCGGCTTTGCCGCCGGCAGCCGGATGGTGTGTGTTGCTGGCAGGTCTGCCTTCCGCATCTGACTGTGGCCTCCTCGAGCACGGGAACATGACTGATCTTTCTCTCTGGGCCCAGAGCCCTGCACATGGCCTGGCGCTAGGTGGGGACATCTGCTGAGTCACTGGAAACCGACATCCCAGAGGACAGGACAGGGAGGGCACTTCCTGGTTGTTGTCCAACAGCCGCTGGGCCTTGAACCTCTCTCCAGCGTCTGTTCACAGCCACACACGTCTCTGCAGGACATAAATTTCTTGGCAGCAAAGGGGTTATTTAAAACCTCCATTAAAACAGCTGGTCCTTGATGGAAACAGAGCAGTTGTCGCCGCTGGGGCCCGAGAGGTGCCCGAGAAGTGCCCGAGAAGGGCAGGGACGCACAGGAGGGATTTATTCTAGGCCTTTCAGAGATGTCTGCTTTATAGCTATGTTCAGGGCATGAAAATGCCAAATGGTCTCAATGACATGAAGGGACAGCCCCACACTTACAGCAGTGGGGGCTTCCTGAATGACACCACTGTCTCGGGGATGTGGGCAGCCCTGTCCACCTTTTCCTTTCATGTCACCGTTAGAAGTTTGCCAAGAGCTGTGCTGTGAACTGCTGAAACAGGAGGAGATGCTGTTTCAGCAAGAGCGAAAATAGACCTCACTGGCAGCCCCTGGATTAATCAGTGCAGCTGCTCGGCGCCTACTGTGTGCTGGGCCCTGGGCTTGTGGCTTTGCCGGGGAGACTGGTGCATAGTAGGCTTCTCATTCTTGGCTGTTATTGTGATTCTGCTGCTGCTGCTGATGGTGACACTCCCTGCCCCCATCCCCGGTCCCCTCTCCTGCCATCGGATTTCTTCCCCCCACCCCCCCCCCCCGTGGCTTGTCTCCCCCAGGGCTCTGTCATCACCTGGGAGGGCTCCACTCCTTGTCACTGGCTCAGTTCCTCCTAAAACCCCCATGTCTGGGAAGGGGCACATTGTTTTTGCTCAGGGCTTCATCTTGCTCCGCTCACACGGAAATGAAAGCTCCCTGCGGCCAGGGCAGCCGTGACGGGCATGCGGTGGGTCTTCTGGTTCGTGGTCGTGGTGTTCGTGGATCGGAAACAGGACGAGGTCTGATCTCCTTTCTCATCTCCCGAGGAGAGACCGTCAGGATAGGACTGGTGCCATTTCCCACGAATATCTCAGCAAGACCTTCCTGCCCAGAATCAGAGATTCTTGGAGCACCAGAGAGGGAGGCACCAGGTGAACATTCAATCCAACCCTTCATGGTACAGTTGGGGAAACTGAGGCCCAGATCAGTGAGTGAGTGGGAGGCAGAGCAGGGAGCAGGACTCGCTTGGCTGACCCATGGTTGATGCTGTCTCGGCTCCCTTAGCCACGGGGTCCCAGGCTGGGGCTGGCTGGGCCCGAATCCCAAGCCTGGAGCAGATGAGGGACGGGGAGTTGGGAGAGGAGCATGGGCCTGGGCCAAGGGGATGGAATTAAGTCCATGGAGTGAATGCCTCGTGCTGCGGCCCCTTGGGCTCTGGAGGAGACGGTGAATGAGGGTCTCCCCAGTCTTGACTGAAGCCAGTGGACAGACTTGAACCCGATATCAGGGTGAAATCCTATCAGTGTGAAAAATGCAAACTGATCTTTTTGGAAAGGCCTGTTTTTTTAATGAAACGCTTTTGGTTAAACTTGGCTTTCTTTTATGAAGGGGATGTGCGAGGAGGTGGAGTTGTTGCTTTGGGACACTCTCTGCAGCTGTCAGTTTCTGCAACTACAGGACTCTGAGCTGACATGCATGCTATGTCCCATTCCTCAAACTTAGCATAACTCTCTGTTCTTGGAATCAATTACCACCATCCAGCGCTTGTGTTCGCCTGGCATTGGGAAAACTGGCATTTAAAAATCAGCGCGATTTGTCAATGAACTCGCACAGAGTTGGCCGCGCTCCCCTGGAAGTCTGTTCCCGGCGTTGGGCGGTGTGAGGCTGTGTCTGCTAGATTCCACTGCCATGTGGGGTCAGAAATCATCCGGCAGCAGGCAGAGTGGTGTGGGACCCCACCCTACTAACCCACACGCGACACTGAAATCGCTGAGGGACAGTCCAGCCCCCGTAGGGCAAGTAATATCCTATGAGAACCTTGGGCTTGTCCCTTTGCTCTTCATCATGCAGGTGTTTTCAGTTTCTGAAGAATGTTGCTTACACGTTACTGCGCTGCAGGTCCCAGGGGACCACGTCCAGTCGCCAGAATTTGCAGACTTTTGTGGGGGTGGGGGTAGGGGTGGACTCCGAGGCCTGGGTTTTGTGGCATATTTACTGATCATGTCATTGTCAGGGAGGTTGGGCCCTGGGTGGCCATGACCCCTTTCTGACTGTCCCTGGGCCTCATCCCCATGGGTCACCACCCTCCAGCCGCTAGGCCTCCCCACAGTCCCTGCCGTGAGCCAGGCTCTGTCCCCCTTCCAGGACTTCCTGTGTGCTGACTCCCCGGCCTCGTGTCCTTTCTCCCTGTCTCCCCCCTACAACATATCCAGACAGCTCCGATCCTCTGTTTCTCCACTGGAAAACTACTTCCAACCTTCGTCTCCTGCCCCCACTGGGACATGAGTCCTCTCATTAAATCAGTAAATCTGCACCTAATTGTTTGGCATCTGTCTCCTCCTACACCCTGTACTCTAAGTTTCCTGGAGATAAAGAACTGTTTCTGGCTTGTCTGCCGCAGTCTCCCAGTGTTAGCCCAGAGCCTGGCACATGGGAGATGCTCCATTAAATATGTGTTGGACAAACAAAGGAGAGCACAAGGGAGTGAGCTGTTTTTATTCAGTGCATCACTGAAAATTTCCAGAGATTCAACCTCCAAGAGCATGTCCCCAGCCCCTGGTGCCTACCCACCCATCCCCCCCTCCACCCCTCATGCCCCGCTGGGCGCCATTGCAGCCCATCCCAGCCTTGCCTCAGGTGCTCATGGCCTCAGAAGAAGCTGCTTGGTGGGTTCTTGTGTGGAAGCACAGCCCCCTTCTCCCCGCACCTCTGGGACTCCTGAGGCAGCAGGGGCGGACCTTCATCTCTTGCATCCCCTTCTCCTGCAGCATCCAGCACCAGAGGAAGGTCCGCAGCCCTGATCCACTCAGAGCAAATTGTTTGTGGGGAGTGGTAGGGCAGACTGTGTATTGATATTAATTGAGCATTTAGTATGTGTAAGGCACTATTCTAAACTCCTTAGAGGTTTTAGATCATTTAATCCCCTCAGAAACTATGGAGTAAAGACTACTATTTCCCCTTTTTATAAGTGGGGAAACTGAGGCACCGAGTGGCTAAGAAACTCATCCAAACCCCCCAAGTAGCAGTTGGTGCAGTAGGGATTTTGGCCCGGGCTTCACTGCATTTCAGAGTTTCTTTATGCTGCTTGAAATGGACTCGCCAGGGTCTGGGGCCGTTGGTTTTCTTGGGGAAAAGAAAGCTAATCCTGGGCCTTTGGAATGTGCAAAGGTAGGGCTTGGTACCTAGAACTTAGCCACAGGACATCAGGGTGGGTTCCTGACAGCCAGAGAGGGAAGGATTTGATGAGATTATGGCATTTGGGGGATGGAAGAAGGATCCGAAGGAATGTGGGGTGGGGGGCTGGACACCAGAGTAGCAGGTCGGGGGCCAAAGCGGGGACAGGCTGGCCAGGGAGATTTCCAGAATGCCAGGGCAGGGGTGTCTGTCTCTTTCTTGTGCTGTGATCCCCGGCACAGGGCCCTGACCTTCTGGAATGTCGGTGGCAGGTAATGGTCTTTTTGTGTCCTGCAGGAAAAGGAAGCAGCTGGCCGGGTTCCCAGGCTTGGGCACCAGGGACCGAGAAAGGCCTGTGGCGGCAGGAGGCCAGACAGGAAGGAGAGGGTCTGGAGGATTAAGGACCAGATCTGAGCCTCAGAGTAAGTGGTGCTGGGGGGCCCTGTCCCCCCACTGGAGTGCTCCGATGGAGCTTTGAGGATGGGGGTGGACATCCCTCGGCTCAGGCTCAGGGATTCCTGCTTGGGGTTGTGTTATTTGCACCTTAGTGGAAAGGGCATTGCAGGAAGCCCTAGGTAGCTGGAACATGGGAGTGATGCTCTGTGTGTGCATGCGCACAAGCTTCTCCCTGCTCCCCACCCTCCTGCCGACCCCTCCCTCAGCAGCCTCATCAGGAGAAGCGGAAATTGACTCTTCCCAAATGTGGCTCTATTTCCATCCATCTCCACTGAGATATTTCCCCGGTGAATGAAAACACTTGCATTCATCAGAAACCTGGGAGCAAGAAGCTGATGCTTCCATTTATCTCCCTTCCAGTGCCTCGCAGAGCCCCAGGCGGGACTGAACTCAGCGGCCGGATGAGCCGGCTCATGGGGTAGGGGGAGACCTTGGATCAGCAAAATAATGCTGGACAAGGGACCCGATCCACCCCCTCCCACCTGCCACACCTGTCTCCGTTCATGACCATGATTTTCCAGATGACATCGTCACAGAGGTGGGCAGTCTGGGACAGGAGGATGGAGTTGATGAGCCCTCACAAGTGGCTCTCCTCATAAATTTTTGGCAATTATTTTTATGGAGAGCATGGATCAGACCCTGAGACATCCCATCAGCGATGGCCTCTTGACCAAGCCCTCACCAATCATCAATTGCTGGGGAAATGCGGACCCATGTGTTTAAAAGTCTCACCCAGCACAAGCCACAGACAAGGAGAGAGTATTTTCCAAACACATGGCTGAGAACAGTCTGTACCCAGAACCTAGGAAGAAGTCTCAAAACTCAATAATAACAAAAGAACCTGATTAAAACAGACAGGATGCCAAAGAAGAAAGGAATAGCCAGTAAACGCGTGAAAAGATGCTCAGCGTTTAGTTATCAGGGAAATGCAAAATAAAACCACAGTGAGATACCACTTCACCCCCCACAAAGATGGGAAAATTACTAACAATACCAAGTTCTGGGGAGGATGAGGAGCATCCGGAGCACCCATGTGATCTGGTCATTTCACTCCAAAGTATTTACCCAAGAGAGAAGAAAGCATATGTCCGTAGAAATACGTGTGCATGAATGTTCAGCCTTATTTGTAAAAACTGGCGCTGGAAACAAATGGATAAACAAATTGTGGTCTATTCATACAATGGAACACTCTTCAGCAATAAAAAGGAATGATTTTTGATATATACAATATTGATGAAGAAGCTAAACAAGTCAGAGCACAAGTTAGAGAACATTCTGGAAAATGAGAACTAATCAGTAGGAACAGAAAGCAGACTAATTATTGCCTAGGGCAGGGGAGGAGGTGAGGCAGGGAGAAATGGGAGGGAGAGATTCTCAAAGGGCAGGGGAGCTATTTGAAGGTGAGGAGTATTACAACACACTGAATGGGTACTCCAGAAATTCATGTGTTAAAACCTGACCCGAGGGCGCCTGGGTGGCTCAGTCAGTTAAGCATCTGCCTTCGGCTCAGGTCATGATCCCGGGGTCCTGGGATAGAGCCCCGCATCGAGCTCTCTGCTCAGCAGGGAGTCTGCTTCTCCCTCTCCCTCTGTGCTCTCTCTCTCTCTCAAGTAAATAAATAAAATCTTAAAAAAAAAAAAACCTGACCCCCTTGTGATGCTATTCGGAGGTGGGGCCCTTGGGAGGTGATGTGACTGGGTCATGAAGGTGGAGCCACATGAATGGGATTGGTGCCCTTATAAAAGCAAGCCCAGTTCCCCTTCTGTCACGTGAGAACACAGTGAAGAACACAGCCATCTGTGAACCGAGGAGTGAGTTCTCACCAGATCTCACCAAATCTGGTGGCACCTTGATCTTGAACTTGCCAGCCTCCAGCGCTGAGAAATACACATTTGTTGTTCAAGCCACCCTGTCTATGGTATTTTTGTTAGAGTAGCCCAAAGGGACTAAGACAGGTCTATTTATTAACTTGATTGTGCTAGTGATTTCATGGGTATATGCATATGTCAGACCCATCAAAGTGAACACATTAAGTATGCACAGTTTATCGTATGTCAACTCTAATGCAATAAAGCTGTTTAGAAATTTTAGAAAGGTCACTACATCGCAGTGCCTCGGGAGCTCTGAGAGGTGAACACACAGTGCTCTGCGGTCAGGTGCATCATGGGCCCCAGTTCCACATCCCGTCCATGTGTCCGCACCCTGGACCATGCAACTTTGCGGTGCCCTCCCACTGTGGATGGGCAACTGTCCCACCCCTTGACAGAAAGCATATGGTTCCACCATATGACTTGCTTCTGGCGGTGGGATGTCAGCAGATGTAGATCAGGCTGTGCACTGGGGCTGCCCCTTGTATCTCTACCATGGCTGTAAGCACGTGCCCGGACTGGCCTTCCAGAGGATGAGAGACACACGGAGCAGAGCCAAGATGCTCAAGGACAGCCTACAGCAGCCAACAACCATGGAACTCTCCCCTGTCCCACCAGACCTGTGAGTCCAGCCAAGATCAGCAGAGCTGCCTGGCCAACCTGTAGCTGACTCAAAGAAGCAAGCAGTAAATGTGTTTTGACATTAGCCAATGGGCTTCTTTGATTTTTGATAGGTGGTCTGTGGCAATAGATCACCAATTCAGGCCCTGTATGAAGGAACAGTCTGGGGTTATCTGGAAAGGCTTCCTGGAGGAGGTAAAGGAAGATGGGGTTTCATGGTGAGTGTGAGAACCAGCCAGAGGAATGACAAGGGGACAGCAAAAGAGCAGAGATGTGCAAGTCTGTAGGCCTGCTAGAATTCAGAGCAGGAAACTGGACAAAAACTCAGGGTGGCCAAAGCTAAGGGTGGTACATGCAGGAAGATGGGGCAGAGAGAGGCTAGCCCACATCATGAGGGGTTTGGATGCCAAGCTAAGGTACTTCTAGGGAATAGGGAGTCATGCCAGGTCTTCAGTGAGGCTGGCCTTTGAGGATGCCCATTCGTGTGGCCAGGGTAGGGGGTAGATAGAGCTAACAAGACAGGTGGCTGGGGCCACGGTGCAGGGGAGCAGGGGAGCAAGGATGGCTGCCTCTACCCCAGCCGGGGTGGAGACCCCGTGAGAGCCTTTGGAGGGGCGATGACCCCAGAGGGTGTCCCTGTCCATGCGGCTGGTCCTTCCCTTACAGTCGTCCCGTTCCAGGCTCACCAAGGCCACCCCACAGTGTGCTCAATTAAGTTAAATTTTCCATCAATTTTTAATGGTTTGCTAATCGATAAGGACTGGACAATCACTTTTCAGGCTCCAAGCGCAGGGGGTGAAGAGGAGAGCCTCACATGCTGTTTGCAAGGTTACTGTATTGATAAGACCCTTGTTATTGTGAGTTAATTACATGGAGCCCACGTGCGTCTCTTGCCAGCCCACACTTCACGGCCACGATGGACCGATTCCGTGGCAATGCTGTGCTCTGCCGCATGAAGGAGGAGTGTCTGTAGGAAGGTGTGATTGGCACCAGTGAGGGGGCGCTGGGCCCCTCTGCAGCTTCGGCTGTTAAGTCCCTCCCGCTGAGCTCTGCAGCCTGGAAGGGGCGAAACGTTAGGGGACCGTCATCTTCTAGCTGTGTTTGTGGCTTCAGGCAACCTGCAAGACGTATCTGGGTTGCAGTTTGCTCTTCTGTAAACTGGGGTAGTGATATCTAACAGCACCAGCTAGGTCTGTCCTCTGAGGATGTGCAGACCTAAGGGTCTGCACCTACCATGTGACAGGTGTTTACATGTCCATCCATTCATGTATCATTCACAGCTTTTCTCTGAGCACCTGCCATAGGCCTGGCCCTATGCCGAGACCTGGAGAAACAGGAATTGAGACAGGTGTGGTTCTCCCCGCCTCTTTGCGAGGCTCATGTGTAGGTGAAGAAGTTGGGGGTAAAAAACCCTCAAACAAACACGTGAAATCATGATACAATGAGAGGCGAGCCATGGAGGAAACTAGCAAGAGCTAAGACAAAACTTTGTCTCCTCATTCATTCTTCCAAACCATCTTACATTGATGAGAAATTCCTCCTATGAGCCCATTTTACAGCCAAGAAAACTGAGGCCCAAAGGGGTAACTTGCTCTGGCCACATGCCCAGAAAGAGGCAGAGCCAGGATCCAAGCCTGTGGCTGGCAGACACGAGCTATGGCTTGCCCTCTCCACCTCTCCCCTTTCCCTACGGATGAGGAGGAGCTCTCAGTGAATAAGGGGGACAAACATCCCCTTCCACCGAGGGGACCACAGAACCGACATTTGCTTCACTGTGCAGGAGGGGCTGTTGGATCAGGCGGACCTGGTTCTGAATTCTGTGCTGTGTATCCCTGGGTGTGTTTACTGCACCATCCGTCCTGAGTCTCAGTTTCCTTCACTGTGAAATGGGAATGATTGTTCTACCATACACAGCTGTCATGGTCATGAGTATCAAATATGAAAAACATAGAAAATGTCCAGCGTCGCCCCAGACACAGAGTGAGTGTTAAAAATATTCTCCAGGCACATAATAGGTATTTTTTAAGAGATTTTATTTATTTATTTGACAGAGAGAGACACAGCGAGAGAGGGAACACAAGCAGAGGGAGTGGGAGAGGGAGAAGCAGGCTTCCTGCGGAGCAGGGAGCCCGATGTGGGGCTCGATTCCAGGACCCCGGGATCATGACCTGAGCCGAAGGCAGACGCTTAAAGACTAAGCCACCCAGGCGCCCCCAGTGTAGGTATTTTTAAAGGTTGTTCCGTTTATTTGGAGAGGCCTATTTTCCTCTGTCTCATTGATTTCAGAAGCTTTAACCACACATTCAAGTGGTGGGAAGAGCATGCTGCCCAGAAGCTGAAGGAGGTGGGGGTTCTAACACTCTGCCGTACTGGCTCTGTCAGGCTCCTGAGCTTCTCTGACCCTCGGTTTCCTCTTCTGTGAAACTGGAACATCATGCCCTCTTAGAAGGCTATTGTGAAGGTTGAATGTGGTAATGGAAATTGAAGGCCAAGTGGGGAAGGGCATAGAGTGGGCACACAAAATGCCAGGCTGCTTCATCCAGAGAAAGCACCCCCGTTCTCTCTGAGCCCAGAGACTTTTCTGGCTTCTAAACATGCGGTGGAACAGGAAGAACAGTGAGATCAGAAGCCGGAGAAGCTCATGACTGAGGACTCTCCTCCTCTGGCCCAGCCTTCCTGTGCACCTTGGGCAAGTCACTGCACCTCTCTGACCCTCTGTCTCCTCCTCTATAAGACAGAGACAATGATGCTCACTCCTAAACTAGAACCATTGGTAGGAGCCACCGGACCCCACACGACACCCCAAAAAGGAAGGCAGAATGAGAAATCCTCGATGTCATGCTGTGTGAGTGGCCCAGATTGAGAGGCAGAGCAAAATACATTTAAAGCACCACCAAACGCTAGAACACTTCACTCCCGAGCACGTTTGTGAAAAGTAATTCCATCACCCATTCTCTGAATTGTTTCATTGCAAAAACAATTAAGTTGAGAAAGCTCAGCTTGTGGTCCAGGGAAGGAAAGGCAGAGCCCAGGCTGGCTTTGCAGACTCTGTCCTTTGTGGTGACCATGGTGGCCCCATGGCCCCAGCAGTCCCTGTCTGCTTGTCCCCAGGCATGGACAAGACTCTCAGAGCAGGCAGGCGTGGGGGTCCCCAGGGGTGGCAGCCTCCTAGCCTGCGAGCTGAGTGGCATGGGTCAGGCAAAGGTATGGATGTTTCTGGGTGGGGGCCAGCGTCCACATCAGCTCTGCCCTACCCCGGGGCTCTGTGCCCCGCCACAGTCTGGCTGACTGTGTATCTATTTGCTCACTGTCTTTCTCCTCGGTGAGATGTCAACTCCACGAAGGCACCTTGACCGTGTTTACGGTTCTGTGGGTAGAAGAGTGCCCGGCACATAGTAGGTGCTCAAGCAAATGGGTAGATGAGGGAATGATGAATGAGTGGCCCAGTGAATTCTGGCACATTGACAGGAGGGGTTCGGAGTCAAAGCTGGCCCGGCAGTGGGCAGGAGGAGAGTGTCCCTTGGCCCCTGCGCTGCGTGAAGACACTTACAGAGAGGAGATCTGGGGCTGACTCGGGGGATAGACTTGTTCTTCGAGCCTTTCACTCAGCCCCACATGTGCACCCCTTCCTAGCTGCTCTGCCCGGAGAGTCTGAAATCCTCTCTCAGGTGAGGCAGTGATTGGTGTCAGTCGAACACGAGCTCAGCTCGGGCTTCTTAACTAACTCAGGACCAGCTTCCTTCCTTGTGATTCACTTTTTTCATGTGTAAGTGCAACTCTCATTCTCGGGGCTGGGAGATTGGGGAGGAGCTCCACTTTGTAAAGGGAAAATGCACACAGACAGTGGACATCCCAGTTGTTTCTGGAGTGTGAACGCGCGTCCTCCAGAGCTACAAGAAGGGGCAGCCGGTCCCCATCAGGCTGGCATGGCCCATACTGAAGCTTCCAGTTCCTGCATCCTGCGGGAGGAGGAGGGGGACCTGGGGGGCGTCGGGAGGGGGTG